TGATAGCGAAAGGTGCAATGAGACGTTACAGAGTGTCATTGCACACTTAAATGTAGTAAAATTTATCGGGATGGTAGCTTCGTAATTTCGTTCATGCACCTGCCTGGAAAAAATGCAATACCGTTAAAACTATTATTGGAAAGTGGTGTCATATGTAGGGGTACATACGTATGATGGGTAAGTGTGATGTGAGAAGTGAGAGAGTGTCGTTCCACACTCAATACAAAAATTTTAAGGGATGGTTGGTTCGTTATTTCGTTCCTTCGCATATCCGTGAAAAAGGCAAAACCGTTACAAGCCTTATTGGAAGGTGGTGGGGAGAAGGGTAGGGACACATGTATGATAGGCAAAGTTGCAGTTAGAAGTGAGTGTGTCCCATTCCACACATTTACTCAACGGAATGGTTGGTTAGTATTTTTGTTTCTTCATGTTTCTGCAAAAAATGCAAAATTGTTAGAACCTTAGTTGTATGGTAGTTGGAAAGGGTAAGGGACACATGCATGATAGGCAAAGGTACAGTGAGAAGTTAGAGAGTATCATTGCACACTTTAACTATTGTAAAACATTTAGGGATGGATGGTTCATAATTTCGTTTATTCACGCGCCTGAAAAAATTGCAAAACAGCTAGTTAAAACCCTTGTTGGAAGGTGGTGGAAGAATGGCAGGGGCACATATGTATGTTAGGCAAAGGTGCAGTTAGAAGTAGGTGAGTGTCATTCCACACTATTGCTCGACTAAAATTATTAGGAATGGTTGGTTAGCAATTTCGTTCCTTCAAGTTCCGGCAAAATATGCAAAACTGTTAAAACCTTTATTGGAAGGTGGTGCGAGGAAATGTTTGGGGACACATTTATGATAGGCAAAGGTGCAGTTGGAAGTTAGAGTGTGTCATTCCACAGTTTAACTATAATAAAATTTCTAGGGATGGTTTGTTCGTAATTGCGTTCATGCACATGCCTGTGAAAAATGCAATACCGTTAAAACTTTTATTGGAAAGTGGTGTCATATGTAGTGGCACATATGATGAGCAAATGTGCTGTGAGAAGTAAGAGAGTGTCGTTCCACACTCTATACAAAAATTTTAAGAGATGGTTGGTTCGTCATTCACATGGCCGCAAATACTGAAAAACCATTACAAACATTCAGCGAGAAGTGAGAGAGTGTCATTTCACACTCTGTAGAAAAATGTTTTGGGATGGTTGGTTCGTAATTTCGTTAATTCACATATCTGCAAAAAATACCCTTATTGGAAGGTGGTGGGGAGAAGGGTAGGGACACACATGTATGATAGGCAAAGGTGCAGAGAGTGTAATTTCACACTTTTACTCCACTGAAAGTATTAGCAATGGTTCGTTGTTAATTTCGTTTCTTCACGTTCCCTCAAAAAATCCAAAACCGTGAAACCCCTTATTGGTAGGTGGTGGGGGGAAATGTAGGGGAACTCATTTATGATAGCGAAAGATGCAATTGGAAGTTACAGGGTGTCATTGCACGCTTAGCACGGAAATCATTAGGAATGGTTTGTTAGTAATTTCGTTTCTTCACGAAGTATGTGAGTGTCATTGCACACTTTTACTCGACGGAAATCATTAGGACTGGTTTGTGAGTAATTTCGTTTCTTCACGTTCCAGCAAAAAATGCAAAACTGTTAAAACCTTAATTGGAAGGTAGTTGGGAAGGGTAGGGGACACATGCATGATAGGCAAAGGTACAGTGAGAAGTTAGAGAGTATCGTTGCACACTTTATCTATAGTAAAATTTTAGGGATGGTTATTTCGTTCATTCATGTGCCTGGAAAAAAAATGCAAAACCGTTAAACCCCTTATTGGTTGGTGGTTGGGGGAAATGTAAAGGGACACATTTATGATAGGGAAAGGTGCAGTGACAAGATACAGAGTGTCATTCCACACTTCTTGGAAAGTGGTGGGGGAACTGGTAGTGGGCAAATGTGCTGTGAGAAGTGAGAGAGTGTCGTTCCACACTCTATTCTAAAATTTTAAAGGATGGTTGGTTCGTAATTTCGTTCATTCACATGCCCGCAAATACTGCAAAACCATTGCAAGCCTACCCTACCAAACACTTCCCCCACCAACTTACATTCTGGTTTTTATTGGTTTTGCTGGAACGTGAATAGACGAAATTAGTTATCAACTATCCGTAATAAGACATATTAAAGTGTTGAAATACACTCTCTTGCACTTTTGCCTGTCATAATGCCCCTTACCTTTCCCCCACCACCTTTCAATATGGGTTTCATTTTTGCTGGCCAAACGAAATTACTAACCAACCATCCCTAATAATTTCAGTCAAGGTAATTACAAGTGTGGAATTTAACTATCACACTTCTAAGTGCACTTTTCCCTGTCGTAACCTAAATAATTTACTATTTAAAGTGTGGAATGATACTCTCTCACTTCTCACTACTGCACTTTTGCATGTGTCTCCCAACCTTTTCCCCTGCCACCTTCCAATTAATGGTTTTGCATTTTTTGTGGGCACATGAATGGATAACCAACCACCCTTAAAATGTTTCTATTCTGAAAGTGTGGACTGTCTGCATTTTTGGCTATCAGTGGACGAAATTACTAACGAATCAGACTCTCCTAATTCTCACTGCACCTTTTGCGTACCATGCATGTTCCCCTACCTTCCCCCTACCACCTTACAATAAGGATTATATAACGGTTTTGCATTTTTTGCACGCACGTGAATTGACGAAATTACTAACTAACCAATCGACGAAATTACTAACCAACCATCCTTAATAATTTCATTGAAGTTAAAACTTTGGATTACATTCTCTCACTTCTCACTGCACTTTTGCCTATCATATATGTGTCCCCCTCACCATCTTCCAATAAGGGTTTTGACGGTTTTGGATTTTTTTGCTGGCATGTGAAGGAACGCACCATCCATAATAATTTCAGAGAAGTTAAAGTGTGGAATTACCCTCTCTCACTTCTTACTGCGCTTTTGCCTACCACACATGTGTCCCTACCTTTCCAAACACTTCCCCCCCACGACCTTCCAAGAAGGGTTTTAACGCTTTTGCAATTTTTGCGGGCACATGAATAAACGGCACTAAGAACCAATCATCCCAAATACTTTAAGTCAAGTTTGTCTTAAGTCTCAATTATCACTGCACCTTTTCCTATCATTCGTGTCCGCCTCACCAGCTTCCAATAAGGGTTTTAACGGACTTTTTTTCAATGCACGAAGTTAGTAACCAACTATCCCTAATAATTTAAGTGAAGAGTTTGGAATCACGCTCTCTCGCTTCTAACTGCACTTTTGCCTATGTCTTTCCCTTCCAATAAGAGTTTTAACGGTTGTGGATTTTTTTGCGGGAACATGAATGTACGAAAAAGCACACAACCATCCCTAAATATTTACTATAGTTATAGTGTGGAATGATGATACTCTCTTACTTCTCACTACACTGTTGCCTGTCATACATGTGTCCCCCTACCTTTCCAATAAGGGTTTTAAATGTTTTACATTTTATGCGGGCACATAATGGACGAAATTAGTAACCAACCACCCATAAACATATTTCAAAAAGTGTAGAATTACACCCCGTTATTTTTCACTGCATTTCAGTGGACGACATTACTAACAAACCATCCCTGATAATTTCTGCCAAGTTAAAGTGTCCCACTCAACTCTCACTCGCACCTTTGCCTTTCATACATGCCACCCTCCAATATTTTGACTATAGTTAAAGGGTGGAATGACACCCTTCCACTTCTCAGTTCACTTTTTCCTATCAAAGGTGTGTCCCCCTAACTTTCCCTCCCCTTCACTTCACCACCATCGGTTTTGCGTTGTTTGCAGGCACGTGAATGGACAAAATTACTAATATTTAACAAAGTTGAAGTGTGGAATTAATCTCTCGATTCTCACTGTACTTTTGCCTATCATACATGCCACCTTCCAATAATTATGAATTTTCATAGATAGTCGGAAGTTACATTAAAAAGATAGGGCTCCATACCAAACTCTTTCTTGAATAAAAAAAACAAAAGAAAACGCAAACAGAAACCACAAACAACAAAAAAGAGATAACACTGTCAATGCGCCCCGCGGAGTTGCGTTATTAATCCTCGGTGCGCATGCGCAGCAAAGGTTTAACAGTAGTTGGTTTGTCTGTGTCTGTGTCTTTGTATCGACGCTTATTCTGGCACTGCGGCCTATTATTATTATTATTATTGTTGTCATACACACCAGTAAAGGTGCACACATATAATGAAACAGAGGGAGAGGTAGAGAGAGGATAAGGAACACAGAGGGTGGACCAGTGGCCGACTGGACTCTGTCCTGTCGCCATCCGTGGGCTGGACCGGCCACTGGTCCCCTCATCATAATTCTTGCAAGTGACTACATAATTTACTGACATGAAATTCTTGAGATAAGGGACTCAAAGTCTGAAAATAGACCAAAAGTACTTCGAACTAATCTGATTACATATGCAATACTAATATCAGTATCATGAAAACATCTAACATGTAAATGACCATAGTGAAAATTATAACCAGTGAAGCAGTTAAAACAAAATGAGCAGACTCAGTAAATATGGTACTGATGAGATTAGAAGAAGAAGAGAGAGCTTTTACCTGTTTCTACCCTGTCACTGTTGTTCGGGAGTTGACGGTTTTCCCTCGGCGCGCATGCGCAGCGAGGGTTACAGTAGTTGGGTTTGTCTGTCTGTCTGTCTGTTACTCTTCATCTCACTTCTCGAATGTTCTTTCGTCTCACAAAGGATACCACCTACTGAACGGTCAATGAAGGTCAGAAATTTCGAACGGTTTTCTCTGAAAACGCTCCGTTGCAAAGCTAGAGCGCGAAAAAGCCAATATGCAAATATACAACGGACGGGGACGGCTCTGGCCGATCGGCGTGCTCTGCGTACCTCGGAGACACCAGAAGATGCAACGCAGGGCGTGTATCGCCTCTCGCATGCTATATATCTAGTATTGTAGTTAGCCCGCGTCAGACTCTGCGCGAGCTGGGAAGGACCACGAATGAAAGCTAAAACTAAACCCAGCCCATCAATTAGTGGTACGCGTCATGCGTTTACTTACGCTTTCGCGTCACAGTGCGCCGAGGGTTTTGGCGTTCTATACGGGCGCTTTCACGAAACTGTCTGACAAACACAACCACTTCACACGCGATAAAAAAATGTGCCCTGTAAGCTACCGCTGCTTAGACCTTCTGCTGCTTCTTCAGCTGAAGATTAGTTGAAAAGGGTCCGACGGGTGGGCGTGGTCTTAAAATCGTGTCCGCCTACGTATAATTATACCTCGCTTCTTCACACTCGCTCATGCGCATAAGGGTAAGTTCGAAGTTCGTTCGCATATAATTATTATATCTTGCTGTTGACAATGGTGGTGTATATCAGGGGTCTATGGATTATAGCTATTGCATTTTGGAGTGTATTAGGAGAAAGAAGTGAAAAGGTTAGTCGGCTTCTTTTAACGGTAGTAAGCCTGATTATTATTTGTCATCACTTAGGGCTCAAATAAACTTGAAAGTAGGGTTTCGCAGTTGTTGGAATGGAATTCTCGTCGATCAGTGATCACTCTATCTTCTGATAAATTTAATGCGTATGTGCGGTCCAAGCCGCGAAATTATTCTTCCGTAGTTATGTTTACAGCTCTAAAGCCTGGAAGAGGTTGTAGCATTTGCAAGTGAGTTGATGGTCTTAATTAACCATTGTTTTTATTGTTGATTTTTCGTGTTTTAGGGATGCTTATGATGAATACCAGATTGTTGCAAATTCTTGGCGATATTCGAATGACTACTCATCGAAATTATTTTTTATTATGGTTGATATTGATGAGGATGGGGTTGATGCATTTCAGCAGGTAATATGTTTTTGTATAGTTATGTAACAAAGGCATATATTATTGGGATTGTGTTGTAGTTGGAACAACTGAAACACTCATAAATATATAATAGGCCTTGTTTTTCAAAACCGTAGCCAGTTCGCATTCCTCTATACGTTATCTATGGGATTGGACTACTTTAACCTGGAGTGTGCATTAGAGTCGTTCTCTGCTTACTACCTTTGGTGTTTTCACGTTCTGTGCACGGGTATAATCGGCTGCTGGTACCATAGGAAGAACAGAAAGCCACTGCGCAGAATAGCAACGAACCGTTTGCTCCAGTGAAGTCACGTGGAGAGTGTCTGGAGATGGAATATGTAAATCTAGGCCAGAAAATCAAAAGGAAAACACCAAAATATTCCTGTGCTTTAACAAAACAGATGCTCATGCACTGCTACAGAATATTGAGGTTTTGACACATTATAATTATGTATTCTACCTCAGTTACACATCACAACTGCTCCTACTTATTTTCACTTTCCACCATTGGGGAAACGGAAACCTGAGGATCAATATGACGTTTCCAGGTAAAGAGTATGGTAGTACATAGTATTATAGGGGTGGGCACGGTATATACCTACCATCATTGATGTAAGGGCCTATGTATTATGATTAGGAGTTGTATCTTCTTCATCTTCTTCAAGACGAAAAGCCTGAAAAACCAAATAACATGGAAATGAGAAATTTTGTAGGAACAGAGATATAATTATGTAATGCGAAGGGACTGTGGGTACTTATTTGTTTGTAAACATTGATATTTACTGTAAACAACAGCAAATAGCCCAAGGCATACATAATAATGGGGACACATGTGTTAGTGTAACTCACAAATGCTAGTAGCTATGAGATACAATGTATTTAGTGCCCACTATGAAAAACACAACAAAGCATGTTTGTAAACCACAGCAAATAGCCTCAGACAATTTCTTCACTCCTCTAACTTGCAAACCACGTATTAACATAAACTTGGTACGCATGCGTGTAACATCATTTCCATGACAACTATATGTTTGTAATAAAAAACAAATAGCCTCAGGCATGTTTCTTGAGATTACTTCTTCACTCCTCTAACTTGCCAATGGTAACACGCATGGAGATGAAACGTGGTACGCATGCGTAGTATATACATCGTTTACATGACGACCACATTGTTTGAAATTATTTCTTTACTCCTTAACCTTGGGGATGAAACTTGGTACGCTTGTGTATTATATCGTTTCCATGACGACCACATCAAATAATCTCAGGCACTTCTCCTTAAATTACTCCAAACTTGCTATCGTTAGCACACATCGAGATGCACTTGGTACACATGCGTATTACATCATTTCCATGACAACAACACACGTCCTCTATTATTAGCAAGCTTGCCCCCTTTCATAGGGATTTACAGAATCACTCTAATAGCATCCCATGCACTATTAGAGTGATTCTGTTAATCCAAAAATGGACCAGTAATGCGGCTGCCCCAGCTAACCGATGACCCTATAAAGAGGAATTTGCTGGGATGGTATAAAAAGCAAGGAGACAAGACAGGGATGACCTAGTCCATTAGTGCAATGGGATGATGGTTGCATCTTCAAACTGACATTGCTTGCTCGTGTACATTTTCCTCCACACAAGCACGCTGACACCCCGACCCCATCACACAATCCTTATATTGTTGCCTGGTGTGGCACTCGTAAACTCCACTTGTACTGTTGGTTACTCAGTAGCATGACTTTTCAAGCTGTAAGTCCGGACTATTGTGTAATGTTGAATGTATAATACTTCACCTATTTGGATTGTGTGATGGGGTCGGGGTGTCAGCGTGGTCAAATCTGTTCATTAACCATATGCTTCATGTATCCCATCCCTATCTTGTCTCCCTTTCTTTTTATACCATCCCTATAATTATGCCTGTTTTTTAAGTTCGCAGGATTGTTATTTACTTGTCTCCATTTTTATATACTGTTACGTATATGTGACAGGCTCTGAGAAAACGACCCTTATGACGCAAAAACCGCAAAATACGTTTGTATGCTAGACCGAAAGTCCTATAAATGCTCTATAGTTTGCCGTTTGTTTCAGGGGCGTAGCCCATTCCGTTGCGAAGTTATGAGCACAAGCGCAAGTGCCATTCCGCGGCATCTAACGTGAAAAATCGCGTCTGAAGGTGAACTTCCGGTGTCAAATTTCAACCTCCGTATTCTCGTAACAAGTCCGTGTTACAACATCGCGCGCGCGCGTGCATCCGGACGCATTCATTGTACGCACATAGTAAGGGGAATTTCCGTTTACGTGACCCCGTAAAAGGTTTGATTATTCACGTGATACGTTTACTTGTAATTCCGCGTTATGACGGCATGAGTAACGGTACTTGCCTGGTACCCAGGGCCATAACTACGGAACGGAATGGAGTTAGTGCGTCAAACTTGCGCAGGTTATGGACGATAGACAGAGGTACTAGAATACGGGGAAAAGCGGGAATCGGTGAATTACGTCGTTCGCCGTAAAACCGCCGCTAGTACAACAATACTACGTGCGTGATAAGGGTCGTTTTCTCAGAGCCTATCACATATGTCTGTGAAAGGAGGCAAGCCCCCTATAAAATTTAATAATAGAGAAAAGTGCCTGTGGTCGTCATGGTAATACACATGCGTATATACCAGGTTTCATCTCCATGTGTGCTGCTGTTAGCAAGTTTGAGGAGTGAAGAAGTAAATGTGTAAAAAGTACGTACAAAACGACAGAGACACAGTGAGAGAATGCTTGCTTTTATAACCTTTAGCCCTTGTATAAAGCCATTTCCCCTATAAGAGTAGCACACCAGGCAACAATATAGGGATTGTGTGATGGGGTTGGGGGTGTCAGCGTGCTCAAATCTGTTCATTAACCATGCTTCATGTATTCCATCCCTATCTTGTCTCCCTTTCTTTTTGTACCATTCCTCTATGCCTCTTTTTTTTTTATTCGCAGGATTTTTAATTAACTTTTGTACTAAGTACTACCGTACTTAGTGATCCACATACACAACCCATCATTTGATTAGGGAGTGACTCAGTCCTCCGCTGTTGGTGTTACTACAGACAGATAACTTATGTTCCATAACTCTCCCTTGCTGGGGTGACATATACCAATTACATTGGTACACTGATTAACCATGATAAGAGTTCATCAAACATAAAGTATATACAAGTTTGTAAACAACCTCAAACATCCTCAGGCATTAAAAGCTAGTATTGCCTCTAACTTGGACCTCAAGAAAGGAACTTGGTGCACTTATTTACCATTATAAGTGTTTATTCAAAATATAAGTCACTAGTTTGTAAACAATAACAAACAGCCTCGAGCAATAAAAACGTGTAAATAATGTTTGTGCCTATAACTTATGGTGGGTCCTGTACACTGATTAACCCGGATGAGTTAATCAAAATATAAATTACAAGTTTGTAAAGTACAACAAACAGGCTCAGGCATTTTAACGATATTTTGCAGATCATAGGCAAACACTTTGGCATGATGTAAATGACTACTCGTTCCCTTAGCCTTTTGCCCATTACATAAGGAGTTTTCTCAGGAAAATATCATACTGCACTTACACCTGTGTACACAGTGGCAAAACAGTTGCATACAGTCATTCATGTGTATTGTGTACATAGTGACAGATGGCAATAATACAATACTGTGCACACAGTGACCAACATCACTTGTGACAATGAAAAGCACTGAAGTGCAAACCCTTGGCGAACTGCGCATGAGCGGCATCGCTAATGGATGGGCTGGGCTATTGGCGTTTACCTGCGGTCTCCCGCTAGTAGCTCGTGGAGAATCTGACACCGGCTAGCTATTGTTCGTTGTTCAGCTTAGGCAAAGCGAACGCAGTGTATACGGCGGAATAATTGGGTATGAAGGGGTCATTCACATGTTCTTGTTGGTTCGAGTGTACTGAACCTTCTCTATTAACATATTTGAAAGGGGAACGAGGTGTGTAGGGTACTTGTACTCACTAGTAGGTAGCATGCGGGAGTAGATACACGCCCTTCGCTGTGGCTTCTTGTGCCTCCAAGGTACACAGAGCAAGCGGATCTGGTCGAGGTGGAGCCAACGTTGATCGCGTCTATATGCATGCGCACCGCTTAATGATGGGTTGGGCCACGGAACTCGGTCCGCGACCGTGCCAGTTTGTCGCTCTCGAACGCAGTCGTTTCAGGAAAATCGCCATTTTCAGGCTCGCGTAGCACTGAAGCGTTTGGTATCGCTCTTAGGCCACCTCGTAGCCTGTAGTGCGAGAATAGTCGCACACATACACACACACACAGACCAACTACCGTAACCCTCACTGCGCATGCGCGCCGAGGGTTAATAATGCATTAGGCACATAGTGACAATGTAGCGACACCTGTACTTGTGACTATAATACATAGTGACAATACGTTTGGCACTACTATACGTTAGTAAGGAGCAGTCAGCTGTTGTACTACATTAAAGGCAAGTCCATGGTCGCGGTGGCGGTTGTCTGATTTCTTTCTCAGGTCAAAGTGAAGGATAGACAGGACACCTTTTCTTTTTTAGGCCGATAAATGGAGTAAGCTGTTGACTCAAAATCTCTGTCAAGTACCTAGATCTTGAAAGCGCACCAAAAACTTTAGCCTTGGCCTTACTCCATGCTTTTCGATGATTTCCTACACCATGAACGCCTAGTAGTATTAATGCACCTATAATAGTTCAGCAATAGCAAGGCATCTCTGCATGAAAAGATCATAGCTTCTGTGCTTTTCGGTTTGTCGATGTTCTGCATATGCCGAAGTGCACTCCAAGATTTGGGTCATAACCTCGTCATCAAAAATAATTAAAGCGCGAATACAAAGGACTGGTAAATGTGGTCCCGGGTACCGCATTGGGGCCTACTCACCAGGTCCCGTAAATTGTGAATGTTGAACTGGTGATTGGTATAGTGGACGGTGGTATCAATTCATCACTGCTCGCTTTATCATGCCTCCTACCGTGGACTCCCTGACTCCCTTCCCTTATGACCTCCACCTGGCACTTTTCCTTGCTTCCCAAAACGAGGATCCTGTTATGCCCGCAAAACCCCCTACCATGACCCCTGCCATGACCATCACTATCACTATTTCAACCGCTGCTTATAACCTCGACATAATTTATGGCTGTAGAGGCAGATGAAACACAGATGCGCTTGGAATGTTGTGCACTTGCATCTGCAAGAGCTTGTTTCCCCCTAGGTCGCAAAGTGCTATCTCCCTGTGCTGCTAGGGTTCAGACTATCGTCATCTTCCTCACTTTCGGATAATGATGCACTGTACTCAGTAGAAATGTCAGACTAGGTTGGCACATCAGTACCAGTTCCATCAGTTACTAAAATGTATGTAGGCCGGAGGAGTACCTACCATATCCAGCGTTACAGAAATTTAACCAGAAAATATTTACACTTATTTCTACAATGACAGGGGGTTGCTCTGCATGGTGCCCGGGTTGTTATCAGTGATGTGAAAAATGTGTATGCACATGAAACCACTGTGCTAATTGAGAGGCCGGGCTACACCGCATTGTCTAGCCATCCACTGAGCAACTTTTACTGTGGGTAGAAACATTGGACTGGTTATTTGTTCTCCGAGTAACTTCAACCGTCTACACTATATGTGCTAAGTCTCACCTTGTTAAGGTAAGCCGTTGCAGATTATGGATACTGGCGCTTCAAAGCGGGTGTTTCAGTCATACTCTCATAGGTTTGAATGCCTCCTAGGCTCTAGTTCCAGATTTTTGTGGACATGTGCACAGTGTACTCTAACTCTCGTGCATGCACACCGAGTGTTTATGATCTGCCTTGCTTCATGTTAAATAAAGTTTTAGGTGCACTCTCCACAAAAAGGCTGCTAAATTCGAACGCAGAAGTAGCAGGAGTCCTGGCTGTTGGCTACAGTAGTCTACCAGACTTGAGAGGTAGCTCTTTTTCCATGCATTTTCCACATAATATGTGACATAATGTTTGTGAATGCACTCTTAATGAACCCTTGGCGCGCTTGCACAGCGAGGGTTATGGTACTTTGCTTTGCAAGTGTTTCACCGTGGCAGATAAACTGGTTGAACAGTTACTTCAAAATAAATCACGATTTAATTACCTCACTACACGTTTTTTGTGATGTCCGTCTCTCCCTTTGTCTGTTATCATACCGTGCGCAGTAAGATGGGCAGAAAGAGATACGAACGAGTTCAATGCTACACTGACTTTGTTTTTGATGATTTTTATGGAAATCTGTGTTCAAAGGTTATTGTGTGTAAACCAAGTGAACAAGCCAAATTAACGGTTGCTTACCTCCCCGCATTCTGCCTGTTTGCACACCCTGGAGGCTACAGCGGAGGACGCATGTTGAGTCTTGAAATGCAATGCTATATACTAGTGTAGCTAGCCCTTGTCAAACGCTACCAAGAGACCGGTGTGTAGTGTAGCCTAGCCCACCAATTAGCGGTTCCAAGCTGCGGATGTGTGTAGCTTATACGCACACGTAAGCCAAGGGTTCGCACTGTAGTTCTTTACATACATGATATATAATTGGTTGTAAAGGGGGCGAGCTAGCGTGTTGTTGCAAAATGCTAAGCCCGCAGGTTTTCTTATTGTATATGCATTGGGTTCTGTGCTAATTGCTCCAGCTAGCTTAGCTATTACAACAGCATGCCGCCTGTTGGCCTATTTCAGCTCACTAAAAATCTTGTTTATGGTGTACGTAGGAACAGCTACCAGGCTGAACCTCTGACTAAGTGGGTTGTGGAGAGAACTGGTGTGCCAGTAAGTCATACTAGTGAATTTTAATGTTATTTTTTGCCCCACCGGCAACAAGGAAGCCAATCACTATTCTTATATGGCAGTTCACGGCTTGAGGTCGGTTTAACTCCAAGGTTATCTTTCACAGCCTTATTCACAGTGTGCTGTAGCAGTATGAATAAATCAATGATGGCCAGACCCATTACAAATAGTACCATCAGGTTGTCTTTAAACAATTTCTGCAAAATAGAGCTACTAACGTGTTTGATTTTCCTTAAAAGACTGCATTTTGTTTGAAAACAAGGTATAAGCCGATATTCATAGTTGCGCCTGTTTACCTTGACCTGATCTACTTACCTGCTGTACCTTGGAAGCTTGAACAGAAGATGAAACAAATCTACATCGTTATATACTAGGCCAAACTCACAATTACCCCAAAGAAGACTCTTTTATTTGCAATTAAGCCGTTTCTTCCCTTAGAAGAACTATCTCAAATTTGTTAATCTTAGTATAGTTAACTGTGGAATGCATGTACAACTGTATATAGCAATTTGGCTTTGGTGGGGTACATGAATGGGACTATTGTAAATAATTGCGAAAATTTCAGTAAAAACCTGACATTATGCAATATATTATAGCAAAAATCTCGGATTCAGATGGCTAGGTAGGCTTGCTTTGTTTGTCAATGGTGAGGTTCTTATGGGCACTTTTAACTAGGTGTACTTAAATATTCTTACCTTTTCTCCAGGTAAATGTAATGCGTCCTCCAAACTACACACTTCTGATGATTTGGCTTCCTGTGATATTGCTCGCCTTTATTATTGGCTACCTCAAAAGAGAAAATTTACATGCAATCTATGAGCCAAAATATTGGGCTATTGCTTCAATGGTATGTGCACATAAGTAATAGTTTACTAACTGTTTTAATCTGTGCATGAGAATGATACAATAGCGCAAGAGGTTGCCTATGCACTCGCCTGCTGCTCATGCTTTAGGCAACTGAGTGCTCTACTGCATCATTCGAGTGCACCACATTGGAACATGCAAACTTTGGTAAGTGTCTTTTAAGTGTTTTATTTCTTGTCACATGATGTCTTCGTGGACCAGGGGTGCCCTTCCTGTCCTGCCAGTTCGACCTCGAGAGCTCTGTAGTCTGTAGAGCCTTGTACATGCTGTAGTAATGCCTGTCATGTTACTACATTAGTTAGCGTGGTGTTGCAATTTGTGGAGCAGGACAGTTTGCCAGTTGTGTTGTGGTCAAGCTCTATGCAATGCCTCTGTCGGTAGTGAAAGATGCCTACAATGTGAATAACGAAGTTATCCGGCTTCTGAGTAGCCCTGTAGACCTCTTTCCAGACAATGCGAGCACGTATAGGCGATTGAGCGTCGAAGTGCATCAAACCTGTCAGTAGACGTGTGCATTATCTGGTTATTACACACTTCAGTGCACATTACATGATTTAATGCACACTTTTCCACGCATCTTATTGGTCGTAGGTCATGTGACCAGTAATAATTTCTGTTATAGAACTGTACAGCAGTACTTACTTTTATAAGCAGGTAATTTGTTAGAAATTGGAACACTTAGGGTTTACTCTGGTAAACAAGTTCACATTTTATGCAATGATAACTGACGGCAGTACTATGTAAGTCATTGTTCACAATATATTTGACCTTCTGTTTCTTTTAGCTAAAGACCAGTAGTGCACATTGATTTGCAGAATGTGCATGCACGTAGAGTACCTAGTATTGGCATCCAAGCTGTCTAACCGAGCCAGTTTAACATCTTAAGGGTTTGTGGCATTTAGAGCAATGCTGAAATGGATACACCTATCCTCCGAACAACTGCGTCCTCGGTGCAGAAATGGGCTAAGTAAGCCATTGCTGATGGAGCCTAGGTTCACAATATGTTGCATTGCCCCATCGCACCTGTCAATATTATGCGGCTGCCAATGCTGCTATTCACACTTGCAGGTGTGCTGGAAGGAGGGGGTTGGCAGACTTTGCGGATGTGCTAACCCTCGGCCCAGTGGGCATGATTATTTTGTTTTAACACGTACATACTACTAAGCTGCTACATGTCATCATGGGCTGGCTACATCAGTAGAGGTTAGCTCCTTGCTCACCCTCTGCACATTCTGATGTCTGAATGGTGTGGGGGAGGAGCAGGATATTAAAAGTTTCTTACACGGCAGGCTGAGGTCACCTGCAATGCTTTTCCATGCAGCCTTGTCCCATGCTGCAAAGTGTAGATGCTGATGACGTACACGCTATACAGTACGCATGCGCGGCACTGTTATATCACATCTCCATGACGATCACATGTTTCTATGACAACCACGTATTGTTTGAAAAAGCCTCAGGTAATTTTCTTTAAATCTACTTCTTCACTCCTCAAACTTGCTAACGCATAGTGGTTAAACTTGGTGCACATGTGTATTACATCGTTTCCATGACAACCACAACAACAAATAGCCTCAGACACTTTTCCTTAAAAATACTTCTTCACTCCTCAAACTTGCAACTATATAGCACGCATGGAGGTGAAACTTGATATGTATGCCTATTATATGATGATCACATGTTTCCATGACGACCGCATATTGTTTGAAAAAGCCTCAGGCAATTTTCCTTGAAACTACTTCTTCACTCCTCAAACTTGCTAACTTTAGCGCACATGGTGATGAAACTTTGATGCGCAAGTGTATTACATCGTTTCCACGACAACCATAACAACAAATAGCCTCAGGCAATTTTCTCTAAAACTACTTCTTCACGGCAGCACACATGGAAATGAAGTATTGTACACAATGCGTATTACATCATTTCCATGACAACATCAGGCATTTTTCTCTATTATTACTTTTTATGGGGGCCTTGCCCCCTTTCACAGCGATGTACGTAGGAGTGTATAAAATGAGTGGAGACAAGTAAATTAAAAATCTTGAGAATTTAAAAAAGAGGCATAATGCATGGTATAAAAAGAAAGGGAGACAAGATAGGGATGGGATGCATGAAGCATGGTTAATGAACACATTTGTGCATGCTGACACCCAGAACCCCATCACACAATCGCTATATTGTTGCTTAGGTGAAGTATTAAACATTCACCATTACAATACTCAGAAACTTATAATTCTTGCTACTGAGTGACCGTTATAGAGTCCAAGTGGAGTTTAATTAAAGGGACTGTGGCAGTATCAAAGTAGAAATATTACTAAGAACAACGGGGGATGGTTAAAGAATACTTGCTTTTAGTAACTTTTAGCCCTTATGTAATGCCACATTCTGTATAAGAGTAGCACACCAGGCAACAATATAGGGATTGTGTGATGGCGTTGTGGGTGTCAGCATGCTCAAATCTGACCATGCTTCATGTATCCCATCCCTATCTTGTCTCCCTTTCTTTTTATACTATCCCTATATGCCTCTTTCTCGGGATTTTTAATTTACTTGTATACGTAGATAGGAATTGTGTGGAGGAAACATTTCATGAGCATGCAATGTGAGTTTGAGTATGGAGCCATTATCTATTGTGCTACTGCATCACATACACCAGGTGAATTCTTGTCTCCTTGCTTTTTTTTTACAATCCCTACATACCTCTTTTCTCAATTGGATATCTCCTTTCCTTTTTTACTGCATTCACATGTGTGGTGTGCAGTGGGACATAAAAGTGACATCATGTTACAGATACTTGTCATCATTAACATGCTTCTTTCACTGTTGTACCTAGTCATACCAAGTTTCATTGTTGAAGACTCAGCTGAAGCATTATCTATAGGCATCAACACTAAATACAAGTTTTTTGCCTTAGTCTGTTGTTGTTGTTGTTGTATACAAGTTTATAACTTCTGTTTTTATTAACTCTTATCTTGGTACATTACTCTTCCCAGTTTCACAACGTTACTGAAGCTGTAAGGGACTCTTTTTCATAGTAACGCTAACTTAAGTGTATATAAGTTCCACCGTTTTCTCGCCAGGACGCTCGGAACACGAAGACCCACGTGTACTTACACGGTTGCGAAATCCGGCCCCACCCTTGCGGCATGCGCGCGCATGCACACATAAAATTAACAGCATGTAATCGGTTAAAGTACTCAAAATGAGAATGTTATGGGCACATACAAGTTATTATTGCCTTGGATTGTTTGTTGTTTACACTTCTACTATGAACTGTCATTGTTAGAGTACCATCAATATGCATGTGATTGGCACAAACACAGTTTACAAGTTTTTAATGCCTGGTGTTGTTTGTTGTTGTTTACGAACTTGTAATTTCTGTTTTGAGCGACTCTTATCGTACCTCACGGGTGCACACAGGCGCAAATGTGGTCGAAGTAAACGACGTAATTTGCTTTGTTCACTTGGTTTTCATGCCATAACTTTTGAACACAGTGATTTTACAAAAATTGCTAATTTGAAATCAAGCCAGTGTAGCACTGAATCCGTTATATCGCCTTTTGGCTTGTTGCATGTGGTGGCAGAAAACGCGGTAAGAGACAGACAGACACACTAACAGACCAAGAAGTGTATCCCTCGTGCGCGCCAAAGGTTAATCATGTTACAGAGTAACCAACACCGTTATAGAGTCCAAATTAAGTTTAAGAGTTGCGAACCAGGTCACATACGTATAGGGAGTCTGTGATTCGGTCAGGGGTTTTCCTTTGTTAACCATGCTTCAGTTATCCCATATCTATCTTATCTGACTTTCTTATCCTATATAAATTTGCAGGATATTTTATTTACTTGTATACCTAAGTACTGCTGTCCTTATATTCCTCTAATGTTCACAGGATTTATTCTCGTTGTGCTTTCTGTCACAGGCATGGATTTTTGTTATGATATCTGGACAGATGTGGAATAATATTCGGGGCCCTCCATTTGCACATAAAGATCCGCACACTGGTGCTACTGTAAGTATAGGTTTAGTATTACTAACATTTATTAGGTATTTGCATTGTGTGTACCTGCATCATAGATGTATTTGGCTGAGATAGAGATTTTGTTCTTTAATGGTAATTAATGGGTAATTACGGTTAAAACGGAAGTAGGCGGGCAAGCACGCGCATACAAAACAGACGCGCAACGCGGCAGTGTTCACACTATCGCGTATCGCAGTGTTTGCAGCGCGTTCTGCCCGCCAAAGCCACTCATAATTCTAACCGCCATGGCGACACAAGCAGATCTCCGCACCGCGGACTTGGACTCGCTGCTCAAGGCGCAGCTCACCCAACTTTGCAGGACAACGGTCTCCCAACCGGCGGTCTTAAATCATCCCTGATCGCCCGACTGCTGACCCTGCGCTCCCAGCTACCTCCCCTTCCCGCGTCCGCTGCAACCACCGCCAACACTGGTTCGCAGCAGGGCGTCGGATTCGCATTCACCGGCTTGCCCGCCGTCTCTGCGAACGCCGCGGCCTCCCCCTCCGCCGGCGTCCCTCGCCTGCCAACTGCGCCCACTCACGCTGGCCCTGGCCTGCAGCCGCCGAACCTCCATACGATGGCCCGACAGGCCGCGCAGCAAGCCGCGGCTCAAGTGCTGGCGCAGTTCGCCCTTCCGTCTGCCGCGTCCTCCACAGCGTTCGCACCAGCACCAGCCCCTCCCCCCTTTCCGTCTACCACTGCGGTAGCTCCACCGCAGCCCACCGCCACCGGGTTCTCGCTGCACCCCAGCCAGGTCCCTTTCGCTGGCTCCGCCCCAACTCTCCCGCCGCTGCTGGGATCCATGGCAGCCCCGCAGTCCTCCGGCCCCAGTGCCACCACTGCAACCTCCCTGTCATGGGTTTACCAGCCCCCCTTTCTCTCCCCCCAGCATATACCAGGACTGGCAGCAGCTCCCCCTGTGGCTCCACCCACTCAGCCCTTCGTGCCCCCTCCCACCCAGACCCCAGCAACAGTACCTCTGCCCACCTACCCTACCCTCCCTCAGATGGCTCCATACAGCGGCTCCATCCCCACCATACCGGCCAGGTTTGCTACTGCAGCGACCTCCGGTGAGTTCGTGGATTTTAATGAGCTGCTGCATGTATTAGAGTCAGAGGGTACGGAGGAGACCCCTGTCCAAATTGAGATAGGGGAGGACAATAGACTTACCCTCCCTAGGAAACCAAAGAAAAGACAGGTCTCCTCCTTTATAGAGTGGGCCAGGTGCTTTGCTGTATACGCCCACTACCTGTCCTCCCACCAGCCACAGCGGTCCACCGATCTTATGGCATATCTCTATGTCATCGCCACGTGCCATGCAGAATACAATTTCTCTGCGTGCATGGCGTACGACGTTGCCTTCAGGAGGAAGGCAGCTAGGTTCCGCCTGGCCTCCTGGGGCCAGATAGACCCACAGCTCTACACCAAGGGCGTTCACAGGGTCTGGCAAAGCCCGCCCCAGGGCCTGGTGTGACCACTGCCTCACCTCCTCGCACTCTTCCTCTGACTGCCCTCTTTTTTCCTCTGGTGGGCCAGCCAAGAAAGCCAGGGTCCCTACGGCTGGCCCAAAATACACCACACAGACCCAGGCAAAAGAGATCTGCCGCAACTATAAACCGCGGGAGGTGCGCCCGAGCGACTGCTCTCCGCCGGCAACGCGTGCCTCACGGCTTCATGGTGTCACACCCGCGTCATCCCCTCCTTCCCCACCAAGAGATCTCTCCCCGATGAAGCAGTGACCCCCTACTCACCTCTCTAATACCCTCCACCATCTCCCCCACCACTTCCTACCTTATCCCTCCCTCAGACCTTATCACTTTCACCCACAGACCCACCTCTCCACTTGATCCACCAACATCAAGGACATCAAGGGCACAGCCGCTTACTCTCCCTCTTCAACACCTCCCCCACTCTTCCACCAATGGTGCCTCACTGTCCCATACCTCCAACCACACACACCCGTGAACTCACCACTGCTAGCTTCCCTCCTTACAGGTCCACCCATAGTTGACTTCACCACTACCTACTCCAAGGCTGTCACCTGGGGATTCAAGGTCGGATACACAGGCCCACACTACCCACGCCCTTCCTCCAATCTGTCGCTGCCCAGCCCTGGCCCGGCCACAGTCATCGACAATACTTGGAGGGCGAATGCCTGCAGGGCACACTCTTGACCCTTCCCCCTCCCCCCTCTACCCAACTTGTCGTTAACACTCGCGCGCTGTGCCCAAGAAAACTGTCAGGGAAATGGCGCCTCATTATGCACCGTTCCTACCCACACGCAGAGAGCAGTGTCAACGACGGCATTGATAACAAGGACTTCCCCGCTGCGCTATTCACCGTCTACAACGCCATAGACTCCGTGATGCGCCTTGTCGAGAGCTCTGATGGCGACAGATAGACATCAGGAGCGCCTTCAGACTCTGCCCCATGTCCTCCTCTGACCACCACATCCTTGTGCATGAGTGGAGGCGGCTCATTCTATTTGGATCCGGGTGGGCCTCCCTCTTTTGGTCTCAGGTGCGCCCCTTTACAACATGTGCCCGAATTGCCTAGCCGAGGCTATCGAGTGGAGAGCTTTCCAGCAAGTGGGTCACCTCACATCGCCACTACCTGGATGACTTCTTCTTCTTCGTCGCCGGTACAACACACACGACGTCCGAGCAGTGCTTGCGCACCTGCACACCCTCGTTTGTTGTGCCTCTCGCTGTGCTGCTGCGAACAAGATCGTTAGACAATCGAGAGGGGTCCCGCTGGCCGACGACAAACGGAAGCACACTAACTACTTGCCTCGAGTATCTAGGCTACATCCTGACTTTCTGCCTCCCTTGAAGCCCGACTCCCCGCCCTGATAAACTCCAGGACATACACCACTCTCTGAATGCCGGGCACCCGTCCAGCTGTCTCAAGCGGGAACTGCTATCCCTTATCGGCATCCCTAAGCTTCGCAGCCAAAGTTGGTCCCAACTGGAAGGACCTTTCATTTCATCAGAAGGATGGATCGACCATCAGCTCCTCTGTCGCCACCTAGACGAGGTCATGTCCCCCTCTCTAGGGGAAATTATGCTCGATCCATCAGTGGTGGCAGGAGTTCGCACCCCGTGAATGGTCGGGTCTTTCTTCCTTCTTGCCAGACTGGACCCCCTCCACCCACCTCCACGCTCTTACGACAGCTCAGCGGGACCATCGGGGTTCGGTGACCACTGCCAGGGTGAGTGGTTCAACGGCGCTGGTTAATCAGCTCAGTTGGAACGGAGAGTTATGCAAGTTATCTAGGTGGAAGGAGCTTACCCAATCGTGCTCGAAGGCAGCAGCTTGGGGCGAA